TGGCTGCTCATATCAAGAATGACTCAAGGAGCTTTATAGATCAACTGCCACATACAGACGAGATAGATAGATAGATGCATACATAGATACATAGATACATAGTTAGATAGATAAACAGATAGATAGATAGCTAGATAGACAGAGAAAAGTGACCTATTACCGTAAATGGTAAATAGGTAACTTGAATTATGCATGTCCCTTGTTGGGTGCCATCTCATCGCTCATGGAGATCTTGTTCGTTTGCGTGATGTTGTCGGTGGGTTCGATTGATCGCGACGGAGATCGTTGTGTTGATCACGTTGTCGTGCCTTGTCCTGGAATACCTCGAACCATTCCCACCACCATGTGCCGCTGTTGTCAGTCCCTTTCCGCGCATGAGGGACCGGGCTGCGACTGCTGGCTGGCATGTTGGTAGAATGTGCTCCACAAAGATGGCTGCGGGTGAAATCAACAGGTCACTGTTGTATGCAACATGTAGTAATGTTGCACAACGTTCCTGCAATCACCGGTGTAACGTTGGATCGCTCCCCTACCTGCAAGTGCAGTGTTTTCAAGCATCGCAGAGTGTCTTTTGAACCTCACAAGATGTCTTGCACTGTGCCCTACGTGTCCCGTAGTGCTTGGGACGCTGCTTGGAGTTTGGCCTCCATGTCTTCGGATTTTTGCTTCAATGATGTAAGCTCCTGAGTGGTCAATGCGATGAAATCGGCGAGCCGAAATTTGAACGCCTGGTCGTTCAGTATGGAAGAGCCTGGTTCAGACTCCGAAGGTGTGGGCTCAGAGTGCTCTTCCTGCAAAATCTGCAGAAGCTCATTGGCAAGAAGGTCACATCGTTCTGCAGCTGGAGGCTCTATGTGTATGACACTGTGACGGTTAGGGCAATGACGCTGATGTTTGACCAAGGGAGCTCAAGGCATGTGATGTGGCCTTTATGCAATTGATGTGCACGCAACTTTAATAAGAGCGCCGTTGTTGTTTTTTCAATCTTGCTGTGAGTGATCCGTCGGATCCGGACAGAGCTGGACAATTAGGCTCACTCCGTGGCATTCTGGCTCAACAAAACTTCCATAACACCAAGTTGCGGCTTACACCCGGCAATCATAGAGACTACCAGGTGATGCTGCATGACGAGCAAGTTGTTGATTTGACGCAGCAAAGTCTCAACTCTTGAGTGGCGATGCCCATCACTTGTCGGTATAGTTGAAGTTGTTGCGAAGCTTGTGGCCGTTCCTGCTTAGGTGAGCGCGATCTTGACGGCGCGGCAACGGGCTCCGGGATGCCTTTGTGTGCTGGTTGCGATGTTCGTTGTCGACGCCGAGACTTTTGGGGAGTCTGTGGGTTTCCTCCAACAGGATTGCGATACATCGTTGGGTATTGCCACAAACCGCAACTTCACTGCGCGCTGGGAAAACGGCTGCGAAAGGCACGAGCATGTAAGGCCAGTCCATATTCACGCCATCAGCGAAACTGCGCAAAGCTTAACAGTGCATGCTTGTTCCCGGCAGGGCAATTCTTATTTAGTTGTTGTGTGCCCAGTGAAACGTCCATCCTGGGTTATTGGGATGCTGTTCACTGTCCACCAATATGGTAGGCGCTGCTCCTGTTGTTTGAGTAAAAACTCACATCGGTAGAGCTGCTAGGTGTGGTCGTTGACGAGGTTGCAAAAATTTGGTCTTTAACACATCGTCGACCGCCGCGTGAATGGAAAAGTCAATTTGCACAGTGCCCAAATTCCCGGCGGAGGATGTTCTCGACCGACACGGCGTACATGTCATCCAATCGTTGCTCCGTGCGTCGTCTCTGACTAGGCATCAGTTCTGCTGACGTGCCATCGCCCCTCATGATGTTGTAGCAGCTATGTCAGAAAGCCAATAACATAATTGAATCGGATCATTTTCTTGAATGCTTTGACAGTCCTTTGTTTCTGCAGTGCTGAGACGTAAGTGGCTGGTTTTTGAGCAAGCACGGTCGTCAGTCAGTGTATCTGGCAGCTGCGTAGTGGTGCCGTATGGCTCGGATGGCTTCATGTACATGGCTACGAGGTGAACAGACTCGCTGTATGAGTCTGATGCATGCTTGATAGCTGCTGCGTAATACTTGCGTGGTTGTGGCTGACAGTGGATGTAGGATGTCTGCTGTGGTGCTGTTGTTGTTGTGAGTTATACTGCAGCTGTGGGGATCCAATGCGAATCTCAGGACAATATTAGCCGGTTCAGTTTCAAGCTGTACCGGTGGTTTGTAGAAAGCTGCATCGCATTGGTTAGTGGTTTGAATGGAGGCAATTTTGTGAGGTGCTTGGGCAACAGCAATACTCTTTTGTCCACGTATCTGGTGGCGAAGTAAGTTGCTTGCTCTGTGTGTGATTGCTGCGGGAAGTTTTTGAGGTTGCACAGCATCTGGCCGTAAGTCCTGTGCCAACATGGGCCAGCGAGGCTGCTGTTTCTGGCTCATGTTCACTCACTTCGCTAGAATGATGCCAATCTGGCTCGGCGGCTGTGTCGATTTTCGCTTCTGGTGTGATGTCCGTGTCTGGTGCGGCGCCGCCTTTTTGCACAGGTGCGTCGACGACGTGTCGGGGTGGAGTCTCTGCTGTCCATGCGTCTGCGACGATGCCGGGCCTCTTTAAGTAGGGGCTGGTGTTGTTCCTCTTCTTGTGTGTTCTGAGAAACGTTTAGTGCTTGATGTGAGGTTGCAGTGCAGTGCAGGTGGTGGTGTTGCTGTTGGCGCTTGTGTCTGGTGCTGGGTTGGATGGGGCATACTGTCAGTAGCAGGTGCCGTGCTGCTAGAGGGTGTTGATATGTTGAGAGGGCTGGAGACACCGGCAGTAGGTGCTACTGGTGGAGCTGTTTTGAAAATTGATTGAAAGGGGATCACTTGTGTTGATGGTGTCATCTGTTGTTGTTCTGGCTGTTGCATTTTTTGTTGTTGTGGCTGTCGCATGTGTTGCTGTTGCGGCTGCATGTATGGTTGCATGTACTGCTGTTGTGGTGGCATTGGGACGTGCATAGGTTGTTGTGATGGCTGTGTGTGCTGGTATCCAAATCCAAAAGGCGGCATCCAGGTGTCGATGGTGGCCGTAGGCGCGCACCACAGCAGGCAGCAAAGCGTAAACAGGCGAAAAAAACAAGTTAGGTTGATCGCTGTTGGTCGTATTGGGCGAACGGATGCAGTAATTGGCTGGCTCACGAAACTGCGCAAACTGCATCATGATGGTGTTCACGTCCACTCCGTTCTGATTTAAAATAGCATGCGAACAACTTGTTTTCAGATTCGGGTATGCAATCCGACCCGTAGTTGCAGGATGTTTTCCTGTGTTAGGGTGACTAGTACCTAGCCGTACTGCTGGTCATCCAACACCTCTGACCTGGGATGTCCTCCTCTAATTACAAGGGGCAAATGCAGGTGGCTGACCTGGCTGTAGAAACATGTGGGCAAGTTCTCGTCGTCGAGATATTCATGTATCCTGTGATGTAAATGTCTGCACGTGCACGTCCTTGCATACACAGTCTGCGGGAGGATGCTCACGTCTAAAAGGTCAAGGCACGCATTGTGGTCGATCGTCAGGTGCACCATGCGGGCTGAAGCATACGCTGAGCTGAGAAGAGCCGTGCTGAAGTGCATCGGGTCCTGGTTGCTGTCCTGGTCTTCATCTTATTGTTGCACAAGCTGAACAATCCAAATGCGAGTGAAGGTAACACCGCTGAAGATGTGCTATAGAGGTAGGTGTTGTAGTACACTTTGGTGGTATGGTGTAGGTCCTCGTCGGGCAGTTAGAAAAGCCGCCATGGGCTACCTGGCTGTCTACTGTTCGTCTTGGGTCGGGATATTCAGGCAGAAACGAATCGCCGATTTGCATGCCTCCGGAGAAGCCGCTCACTAGTCGAACGTTACCTCGCCTATCAAATGCGCATGCCCTTGCAATCACTGAGGAAGGGAGCGAAAGAATAAGGACAGAATCGTGGAGGCGGTAGACCTGCGCAACTGCCGTTGCATTAGCGGCAAAATGTTACCTCGCATGCACTCAGGTCAGCGACTCAGGCCGATAACGTATTAGCAAGAGTTGCCTGTGCTAGTTCCGGTATAGAGTAGGTGCCCAGGAGTGCCAGTTCATCAGCCCGAAGAGTCAAACCAAAAAATCTGGCTCCTGGCCAGCTACCCCGCAGGCCACCACGGCGCAATGACGGAAAGCCGCTGTTCTGGAATGTTCTGGAGTTACCGAGGCCCACGCTGGATCACACTAATGGAATTCGGCAAGGGAAGAAGTCAGGACGAGCAAAGCAGGGTGGGGCAGGGTGTTTTGCAGACTGGCTTGTACATGGAACAACTGTTGCGAAACTAACCTGGACACCACAAGTGGGCCTGCGCTTTTCTAATCTTGGCACCACAGGGGACTGCCGCGCAGATATCAGCATGTGAAGAGGGCATCTTCGTTGGGCTGGCGACCGATGCACATGTCCAGCCCCCCTGCTGTGGATATCAGTTGATATGAAACTGTAAGAACAAAATTGCTGGCACAGCATGCTGGTAAAACATGCAGCTGGATGCTCACAACCGATAGGAGTGACGCTCTATTCCCATGTGCTAGGGAATTTCTCTCTCACATACACACATACACACGGCGTTGCGTAGTAATACTAGGCAACCGAAACATAAACCCACCGGTACTGGCCATGTTTTATGTAAGTGCGTCGACATGCATCAATTCAGGAACACTTTACGTTACAATACATTACATTCACTTGCAGCAAAGGCAGACATGCTGAGGTTGCAACAGTAACAGGGGGTAAACAAACTTGAACACAAATCCATCGCAGACAAATTCAGATGTTGAGGGTCAGTTGTATAAATGCAACCATGCCCTAGGGTTTACACTTGTAAGGCATGTCTGCGGACAATCAGTGCCTGCACAAACAAACCTGCAGTGCGTGCCACACACTCACTCGCACAAACCGCGTTGTTACAGTTCACCCTAGTCCGGCGCCGGCATCTTGCGAACAGGTTCAGCGAGTGACGGGAAAACAGGAAGGCCAAGCGCTTGTCAAGCTGCTCCGGCGTTTCTGGAGAACCGGCGGGGCTGCCGTGGGCGGAGGCATCTCCTGTCAGGGCGAAGCTTTCCCGTTCCAAATTCACAGGCAATCAAGACTTGAAGTGCAAAAAAACTTTGCTGTAAATGCTAAAACATTCAAGAGCTAGACGTCGCTCGTCATACGGCCAACTGACCCTGAAACCTGAGGCCGGCAGTCATTTCGGCAAATTTCGGCGACCTGGAACCTGCTCTATCTTTACCCAAACCTGGAATCACCAGTGCGCCAGCCTCTGCGACAGGGAAGTGCACCAGCTGGAAATCCCCAGGCTCCGGAGCTTCTGCTTTTTCCGGCAAGGCTGGCATTGGCACCTCCGGGAGAACACTTCAACAAGCGGTAGCTGCATCCTTCGGACAGCAAGCCAGGCAACACTTCCGCCTGATCTATGGTGCATATTACTGCGAATTTTGCTAATATAAGCATATAACTAAACATAAACGTTACACAACACAAACAGACAAGCCCGGAAACAACCAACCAACCAACCCACCCACCCACCAAGCAAGCCAGCCAGCCAGCAAGCAAGCAAGCAGCCAACCAAACGAACAAACCATCAAACAAGCAGACAGACAACCAGACCAAGGAACGCACGAACGAACAAACAACCACACATGCACGCACACGCACGCACGCGCGCACACACACACACAGACACAAACACACACACACACACACACCCGCGCACGCACGCACGCACGAACGCACGCACACGCACACACAGGCACAAACACAAACACAGACACAGAACAGCGACAGAGACAGAGACAGACACAGACACAGACACACACACACACACACAGGCACACAGACACACACACACACACACCCACCCACCCACACCCGCACCCACACCCACACACCCACACAGACCCGCACAGACCCACACAGACGCACACAGACCCACCCCGACCCACACAGACCCACACTCACACACAGACTCAAGCACACACACACACACAAACAACACACACGCGCGCGCAGGTGAAGTGTGCACACACACGCACACACGCACGCACGCACGCATGCATGCACGCACCCCCGCACACACGCACACCCACACCCACCCACCCACCCACACACGCACACACACACAGATATATATATATATACACATACATGCACAAACACGCTAGTACACAACCAGCCCAACAACCACCCCGCGAGTAAGCTAGCCAACAAAACGTGCATACATACATACATACATACATACATACAGACACATACACACATAATATACACGCACAAACATACAAACAAACAACCATACATGCATGCCTGCATAGGCACATACATACGATGCACATACGAACTCAAACACATGTATACATGAAGCATACATACAGCTGTAGCCATGGCTGCAGGGGGGCACGTGTGCATGCATACATACATACATACCTACGTACGTACGTACGTACGTACGTACATACATACATATACATACACCTACACCTACACCTACACCTATACATATACATATGCATATACATATACATACACATACACATACACATCCATATCCACATCCACACATATACACATATACACATACAGACATATACACATACACACATATACACATATACACATACACCTACACATACATATACATATACATGTACATATACATATACATACATACACACATACATACCTACATACATACCTACGTACGTACATACATACATACATGATCATTTATACATACATACATACATACATACATACATGCATACATACGCATACATACATACATGCAAACATACATACATATATACATATGTACATATATATATATATATGTATATACATACATATACATAAACATAAATAAACATAGAAATATTACACATGTCTGAAATAAGGTCAAGTTGTGGCAGCGGCTGTCAATGCAGTCACGGTATTGCAGGAGAGTCGGAAAAGCGTGCTCACAGCGATAATATGTAAACTGAGACCCGAACTCTATTGACATTTTTCATACGAGCTGCGTGGGAGATGCTCTCAGATGCAAAGACTCGAAGCCTTCTGCCGTCGGCCACGGCGGACGGTTCTACTTAGCCCCAAAGCTTAGCTCAAATTGGCAGTCTAGCGACTCTAGCACCGTAGTACTCTCTTGTACCATGCTGTTCCGGATAAAACACACGGAAGCTCCAGCCCCCTTGGCCTTGAGTTGGACAGAGGCCGGACGAGCGTAGGCGGAGGTGGGATCCTTGGCCTCCTTCCGGACGACGATCGTATGGGTCCCCGAAAAGGCATGGCCCAGGCGGAGGGTCGCTGGCTGCACTTTCGAGGGATGCTTGGGCTGCTTTCGTGTGACCACCACGACAGTCTTCTGGTTCATGGTCTTCACCAACGCAGGAATGTCGGACACAGCAAAGGCTCCCTTCGACACCGCCTCAACATGCGCCATGCAGGGAGGTGCCGTTGAAGGGAGGGCTTCTCTCTCCAGGGTTAGGGGCTGCACTGGCTCCTGCACGTTTGCAATCGCAGTGTCCAAACCGGATTGGCCCGACTTCCGGCCGGATTTTTCACTCAGCCTCTTGACGACCTGGTCGCTGCTGTGCAGGAGACTCCGCAGATCCTCGTCGTCTTCCGGGGATATGCGCCGATGTGAAGAGCTGCCATACATCAGCGACAGTACCCAGTACAGTGTTTTTTCAACTGTTGGTAGTCCTCTTATTGCCGAGACCTGCTCATGCTCACTCACGAACTTGTCCCACTGGAGACTCGAGGGCAAATCCACCAGGGCTTCCAAGGTGATCTCTGGGAAGAGGACTTTGAACTGATTGCTGCAGACACCCCGCACAAACTCCTGCCAGGTTACTTCACCAGAGTCATCAGCATCAAGAAAAGCCATCATGTCTGCTGCCAGCTTTGTATCGATATTCAGCATCTCCATCATCTTGATGATCTCGGAAAGGCTAAGCTGCCCATCTCCATTCGCATCCAGACGGCGAAACACCTTTCCGAACAGTGCCACGCGTCCCAGCATCACTTCCAGCGTTTCCTGGTCCAAATCAGAATTATCCAGAATTGCTTCCGTGAGCTCCAAGTGATTCGTCTTGCGGCCACCATCTCGGAAAATTGCGAGCAATATGTTCTTACTGTCGTCGCCTTGCCACCGGATGAACTGTATGGAAATGTAAAGTAGTAGGCTGGAAAGCCAGACGCCGATAGCTATCGCGGCTATTCTGATTTCACAGGCTAAGCGAAGGTCGCTACAAGGAACTTGTGCACAACTTACGGATGGGATATGAATCCAGCTTATGGGACCGATATAGTCCAACAAGTCAACCCTGAAGAAGCTGGACTCCCAATCCTGAGCCTGCCTTGCAACCCCATTGCAGCCAGCAGAGTTTCAACCTCTGCATGGTCCAAGTCTCCTGACTGGTCCTGTTCGGGATGGCTCTGAAGCGAGTCGGCAAGAGTCGCTACTAACCCCTCTCTCCTGATCAATCAGATCCAAATTGTCGGAGCAATTCTGGGCAATGCTCTTCCCGAAAGCGCTTCGCTTCGACTTTGGCGTCAGCGGGCTCACAGGCATGGCAAAGCAACGCAACGCGAGGGGTGAAACCGACCTCGATGCTGTCGATGCAGTTTGTGAAGCAAGTTGGGTGACATCGCATTAAAGTGGACCGTTAGCGAGTACTGCGGCAAGGCCCGGCACGATGGGTGTTGCTTGGGGCGATGCTTGGGCAAATGCCAATGCGCGCGCTTCAACAACCCTTAGCCTTTCCTACAACTCTCAGCCCATCCTTCACCCATGCTATTTTATGCCATTTGATGTGCCTTGAGCAGTCCGGCATGCCACAGCGACTCTGTTTACATGAAAGCAGCCACGACTTCCCGGTCGCTCGAGGTGTACATGGCACGAAGTGGACTTTAAGGTCGCTGTGAGAAGTTTGGCCACGTCCTGAAATCCTGCAGATGTCCGTGCATAAAACCGCATGAGCAGTGCGAAGATTTCACTGTCCTTCGATGGCACTGTTGGTAGAAGCTTTTGTGGTTCCACCTTAGACGGGGGCAAGTCGACAAATTACGAGGAACACTGCGGCAATTTCGAAAATGCTGCGACACACCCGACTTTGCAGCAAATAGAGCAAACAACACTACTCAAGTACGCGTGACAAAGGTGGACACAGTTCCTTCGCTGTACCTTTCAACTGACCGGACCATGAACAGCCACGACTCAACTACTGCCCACCGTCAGCGCTCAAGAAAAACATCCGAATTCGTCTCAGCAGCACGATCCAGCCCACCGTGCAAGGTCACTGGGAGCACCACCTCGTCCACCTCCGAGCGGTACGCGAAGGCACGGAGCAGCTCCGACCGCCCTGAGCTGAGGGCTGTGCACGTGTCTTGGGAAAGCTAAAGTTCAACCTTTAAGACATCTTAAGACTTGCGAGGTCCAAATGCCTGCTCAAAAATCATCGACAATTTCCATCTGATCTGAGGAGATTATTACCAGTCCAAGGTCTTTACACCGGAGCTATGGGTGCCGAAAGGCACGTGGATGGGCTGGGGCAGTGAGTGAGGAAGGCCAAGGACAAACCATCTTCCCACAAACCGCTTCACCAGACAAAATGTGGCACGACGGACTTCTCCGACTCCTGTCCAGGTTCCATCCATCTCTAGCAGTGCTCGAGGAAGCCACTCCTGCAGATTCGCAAGGAAATCTCAAGATGGCAACCCTAAGGTTCCAATTCAATCTAGCAAAATTCGCACTGTGCAAACCTTTGACTCGACTACATTCTGCACGACTGCAGCCGACCTCACTCTTTGGGGCATGCACGGCGGCAGCGCGCACCACCCACCGGGAAACCTGCGAAAAGAGGGCATCAGCAAAGATGCCGCAAAGCCTTGGAATAGTGAACCACGCAGCGACAGCTGCAGAGCCAAGGCATAACAGGCAAAGGTGCGATAATGCAAAAAACAGGCGACTGGGATAGAGAATGAACAGGGAATTCCTCGTCCTGTGAGCAAAACGAAAAGACGCCTCGCTCAAAAAAATGCCCCTCAAACAACTCAATTTGGAAAACATTCTGCGTGGTTTCCAATGACATACGAACTCAAATAGGCTCAAGCTGGAAAAATGCACTCCTGATTGAAACAGTGCCCGCAACTCCCAACTCAGTTCTGCAAGCAGCAACAACAACAACCACAACGACAACGACATCGTTCAACGACAAATTGACAAAGGCAACATCAGCAGCAATACCCCCCACCACCACCACCACCACCACCACCGCCACCGCCCCCGCCCCCGCCCCCGCCCCCGCCCCCGCCCCCGCCCCCGCCACCGCACCACCCACCGCCACCGCCACCGCCACCCCCACCCCCACCGCCACC